AACCAAATAAGTTTATCTTGGTCTCATCAGACCACAGGATACGGTTCCAGTAATCTATGTCCTTAGTATGCTTGTCTTCAGCAAACTGTTTGTGGGCTTTCTTGTGCATCATCTTGAGAAGAGGCTTCCTTCTGGGACCACAGCCATGCAGACCAATTTGATGCAGTGTGCGGCGTATGGATTGAGCACTGACAGGCTGACCCCCCAACCCTTCAACCTCTGCAGCAATGCTGGCAGCACTCATACCTCTATTTCCCAAAGACAACCTCTGGATATGACGCTGAGCACGTGCACTCAACTTCATTGGTTGACCATGGCGAGGCCTGTTCTGAGTGGAACCTGTCCTGTTAAACCGCTGTATGGTCTTGGCCACCGTGCTGCAGCTCAGTTTCAGGGTCTTGGCAATCTTCTTATAGCCTAGGTCATCTTTATGTAGAGCAGCAATTCTTTTTACCAGATCCTCTGAGAGTTCTTTGCCATGAGGTGCTATGTTGAACTTCCAGTGACCAGTATGAGAGAGTGAGAGAGTGATAACACCAAATTTAACACACCTGCTCCCCATTCACACCTGAGACCTTGTAACACTAACAAGTCACATGACACCGGGGAGGGGAAATGGCTAATTGGGCCCAATTTGGACATTTTCACTTAGGGGTGTACTCACTTTTGTTGCCAATGGCTGTGTGTTGAGTTACGTGAGGGGACAGCAAATGTACACTGATATACAAGCTGTACACTCACTACTTTACAATGTAGCAAAGTGTCATTTCTTCTGTGTCACATGAAATTATATAATAAAATATTTACAAAAATGTGAGGGGTGTACTCACTTCTGTGAGATGCTGCATTTGCATTAGTTTTCTGTAGGCTAAAGTACATATTCAGCAAGTACAACCAATTAGCTTTAAACTTGTAACTTCCTGTGTACTGAACTGAAGACTCAAAAAACATCACCTGCTTTCCCAGTTGTCTTTGGTGAACTGCAACCATTCTTCTGCCTATGTAATGGAGATTAGGAGGTGTTGGTATTCTAAATGAGGAGAGCAGACTAGGGTGACAACATTGCTCCTCCATAGATACAGTACAGTGAGTGAGTGTGTCACCCAAGGACAGGGAGTGTGCTACAGGCAGGATGATCAGATAAGAATTAAGGGGGAAAAAAGCCTGAGATAAAGAAATCTAATGCAGTCTGCACATCTAAGGACTAGTAAGCTGGTATATAGAAAAAATGTGTTTCTGGTTTTAGATATGCTTTAAAAATCTGTCGGTCTCCTTTGCTGATCGAGAATATAATGCTTAGTGTTCTAGGGGATGCGATGGCAGAGTATTACTTGCCTGAACATGCGGTAGCCATTTTTCCTGTCCTCTTCAGGGCTGGTGAACACTCCTACGTCAAGTAAAAATGCAAGACAACCAGTAACCACTGGTCCTGCACTGTATGTGATGACCTTGGTGAGAGGAGCGGCAACAAGACTGATTGAAGACCAGCAAAAAGATGGCTACAGGTGACTGGTCATTACAGCTGGAACCAGCGGGGAGGAAGACTGTGGGATCCTGGATTAAGGTTAGTAATACTCTGCTTTGCCTTAATTCCATTAAAAATAAGCATTATATTCTTCATCTGTTTGTCGGTGAAGGGAAGGGGGACTTTATATTTTTTAAGCTCAGCCCAGAGTTAAACTGGCCATACACTATACGAATTTCAGCCAGTTCTTCATGAACCAGCCGACATTCGCACAGTGTGTGCTGCTGTGGGCACCCTTTTAGCTCTCGATCAGCTGATCAAAGGAGCCAGTTGGAAAATCCTGCAATAAACGGTGCTTTGCAGCCAAACAGCTGCAAGCACCATCCATGTATTCTGACAGTGGCCACCGGCCGCTGTCAAAAAACAAATGAAACAGTGGGGTTGAACAAAATAAATAAATAAAAGACAGTGCGTGTCCAGCTTTAGGACTTTACGTTCACGCATTTTTTTTTTCTTTAACACCTCTAGTATGCACTCCTGCATGGGACTCTAGCTTCTCTTCTGTGCAATACAGCTTATGCGGAGCAACAAGCTGCCTACAACAAGACTGAGAGTACCTGGTCAGTATATTTATATAACTGCTCAATTTGTGCTTTAAAAGCTACTGAAATTAATCAGAACATTAGTTATAGGATGCAGTGCTCCATGATTTTATAGCTTCTGCAGAGTGCCACTTTAGCCCATGTATGTATCAAACGCTGAAGGAGTTCATGAGTCATGTGACTTTGTGGTACTATAGACAGCAAAACTCTGTATTTGGCCCAAGCTTAGGATACTAGCGCTCCCGCAGTTCTTGCCTGAAACTGGACATGATGTGCAACGAGGAGACTGGAAGTAAATGGGCAGATATGTGTTGTATAAAAAAAACCAAAGGCAGAGTAGAATGAAATTCAGGATGTAAATACCTTTGCTGTAGTCAGTGAAGTATATGGTTATAGGTTCAAGGCATCCAGTGTTTGGTCGGAAGGTTTCCCAAACTATTTCAGTCACGAATATCACAGTCACGTTATTCTGTGTCTACAAAGGGACAGAGGTCCAATCATCACCATTTCCTGATATTTACAATTCTTGCTTTTTAACAAAATGTATTTAAAGAGAACTAATAGATGCAGATAGAGATAGGAAAGCAGAATCTTCAGATAAACTGTCTCAAATTATATGTAAATTATTGAACAAATATCAAAACGAAAAATTTTCATTTCCCAGCAAGATTACCTGAGCTGGCCACACACAACTTGTAACCCCATAGGAGATTGTACAATGTAATGCAGGGCCTACCTGATAAGATATAAATTAAATGATTTGTTTAAACTGACGTGCGCACTACATTACATAGCCCTTGGTAAAGTAGACTGTATAGATTGCAATATGTGTAGCCAACAGCAGGCCTGTCATAGCAGAGCAGAAGTCTCACCAAGGGGTAAAGGCTGTGGGACATCTGTCTATCATTGCTATTAATGCTGGAGTATCGAGACTCTGCAGCACAGTGACTTAGTGGTGGTTGGCACTCCTGTTTTGCAGCACTAAGGTCCTCTGGTTTCCTCCCACACCCCAAGGTTAATTGGCTTCTGTCTAAATTGTCCCTATATGTATACATGTGAGGTTGTATACATACCATAGATTGTAAGATCCTTGAGGCAGGGACTGATGTGACTATTATAATGTGTAAAATATCAGTGCTGTGTATACCAATACTCCTAAATAATATATATTTCTCTTAGAAATTCCTCTTTGCACTTAGAAGCTGAGAGATTATCTAACACAATGAAGTTGCAAAATTCTTGAAGCTGCTGGATCACTTGCAACTAGTGAGCTGTGTATGGCCTCCTTTTGGACAACCACATGCCTTCAGAAGGGTCATGAATGCAAAATGCCACAGCCTGGGACTGTGTGTTTTGTGATGGGCCTAGAGAAGGGGCTTGGACACAACCACAGTTTTAGGGCCAATGAGTCCTGCAGTGCTTACCTCCAAGGGGGTAAAAAAGTACAAATGGGCACGGTAGTTATCCTAGCATCTAAAAGAGCAGATTTAACAAATGTAGAAATAGAGCCTGCAGGGGCCGTGGGGGTGGATGGTTAAAGGAAGGTTTAACCGCATAAAGCTTACTAAGTTCAAGTTCATTGTGCCCAGAGTTAGTCTTTAAACCACCAAGACCTTCTCTTCAAAATGTCACAGTTGCATTGGTCTGACCAGTGTGAAAAAGGAGAGTCTTCAATGCTACAACAAGCATTACCCCAAACAATGCTCTAAGAATGAAGTGGTTGACATGATGGGCACAGTTACAACATTGGTAAGGGTGTCAGGAGACTGAATAACAGATCTCTATCTCTCTTCACAAAAGAAGAAGATAAAAAACATTGTTAGTTATATTTAAGGTTTACACTTCATCACTCTGAAGTCATAAACTTTAAATATGTTTATTAATGCAAATAAAATCCTGATAATACCAACATATGACAATCAAATGTATGTTGCTTCACCGGCCTTGCCAAAACAGGTTGTGTCCTTTAATACCACTGTGTTTAGGTTACTTCAGAAAATGTGTACACCTACCAGTTCCTGAAGTCTGAGGAAGCCAGGCAGGAGGTTTGCCTCCATTTCCCGAAGGAGTTCAGCTTTATCCAAGACCTAAGGAAAGCAAAAGCATCGTGCTAACAAGAGGCATTCACACAAGTAAAAATATTTAATCTGCTAAATAAAAAATATTCTTATTTGAGTCTGTACGCTGTTGAAGAAACAAAACTGATAATTTGCAATGTTAATAAAAAATGTTTTAAAAAGCATCCCCGATTGTGCCAAAGCACATGAAACCAGCATGCTTATCTTGTAGGGCAAAGCAGCTCCAGCTTAGAAAACCATAACTTTTGGTACTTTGTTAGTCTACATTGGGTCACCAGTGGAGGGCTCGTCTATTACTCACAGGAAGTAGATATCCCTTCGAAAAAGTATGCCTGATCGGCAGCAATACTGCACCTGAATGGTTAGAAAGCAATTCTTCAAGCAACGCAAAGAAAAAACAGGACTATATGTGAGGAACTGTGCGCTTCCAAGCATGAGGAAAAACTTCCTTAAAATTGCAATTCCACTTAAAAGATGTAGTTTGGATTAGGTTTAGTGAGAATGCATGCTGGATGCACACACTGAAGGAGCCCATACACTGCTCGATTCTCATCCGAGAATCGCGGGAAATCCCACGATCGTACGAGAATCGAGCAGTGTGAACGAAGACGTGCGACAGTTTCTACTGTACGGTCGCACGTCTTTTGTCTAAGAAGCACGCTAGAAAACCAGCCGAAAATCGTACGATTTTCGGCTGGTTTGAACGGTGCTCGGAAGACAAATGCCGCACGCCCACACTGCCCGTTCAGCATTGTGGTCATCGGGGGGCGGGCTTGCGATGATCGAGAGTACGATCTGCCTGTCCAAGATGGGCAGATCGTACGTTTTTGTAATCACTTTACAACCATCGCAAGACTAAAGGTCTTGCGATGGTTGTACAGTGTATGGACACCTTAACATGTGCCTGCAGCACCGGGTGGTAGCCTAAATCAATAAAGACGTACTGATACACCCATATGTACGCTCCTCATATGAAATATTACACCAACAACCGAAACATAAAACAAGGATACAAATAATTTTTGCATTTCATGCCCAAGGAGCTTCTTCACACCAGAATGCAATGCCAATCACTAATATCTCATATATGCTTTAGTACATTTAAAGCAGAACACCAGAAAAAACATATTTTCAAAAGTTAGACCGAGCCTGCATAGTTACTTGTAATGATTTGTGTGTAAGGCCTGGAGGACGCAGGGGATGCTCAAACTTTAATTTGCAGTTCATGTTACATAGTGTGTATCCTTTCATCATCCAGCGGTGCTGCAGCAACTTCCTGTCTCTTATAGTGTGCATAGTCACTCACTCCTCCATTCAGAAAACATCTTGTATTTTTTTCAATGTCTACAATGCATTCTCTGATTTACCAAGAGTACATTGTGAAATCATCTGCTCTTTACATTGTCCTATCAGAGAACACTGTGTATTCACCGAGCGACATACAAGACATTTTCTGAATAGTACAGGAAGTACAGTACGAAATGTACAGCGAGCAACAAGGTCACTATCTGCATTGAATTTGCATGTTCTCTCTATGCTTGCGTGGATGTCCTCCCACACTCCAAAGACATGCTGGTAGGTTAATTGGCTCCTATCTAAACTGGCCCTCATATGTATGCATGCGAGATAGGGACCTTAGATTGTAAAATCCTTGAGGCTAGGGACGCATGTGAATGTAAAGCACTGCGTAAATTGACGGCGCTATATAAATACTCACCCGATCTTTAGAGCCGGCTTGCTCTTAGACCAGTCCCTGGAGCCTCTCTGCCTCTCCGCTCCAGCAGTCTAAGGATCCTTGAGTCATCATGTCCTATACACAGTATAGGGCATAAGGACGCCGAGGGACATACCATGCAGTGGAGGAGGAGACAGGCTTCAAGGACCGGAGTAGCAGCCAGCCTGTCCGAGGATCGGGTGAGTAACTTTTTTTTTTAGCAGCCTCACTACAAGGGTTAAGAACACTTTTGTCCGGTGCGTTTTTTTTTGTCACCTTGAATGGCAAACTGTAGTCAGCAACCAAAACATAGCATGCGGGGCTTTTATTTCTACAATTCCCTGCAAGTGTGAACATACTCTTAGGAAATTAATGAATTTCTGATGTCAATGCATCTTGTCTATTTTGGAAAATGTAGCAAAATACATTAAAAATCATCTATTGGTAATAAGTCCCTAACAGTCTGTAAACTTGCATTTACATTTGATGACCTTCCCAAATACCAATACACAGAGCCTATAAGAGGCCCTACATATTGAATTGCTCAGACATACAGATTTATGTGAACAGAGAACGCGGGAACACGCGACATGTGTCAAAATACTCACAATGTAAACGGTTTCATTCCCAAATCCTTGACTTGCAATGGCCTTCTTATACAAGCGGATGAACTCATTAAACGTGTCACATCTCTCATACGAGGAATACTCATTGTCAGGAGCTGGGCGGTGATTGTACAGCTGATTAAGTATTTGCTCAAACAGTAACCGTGATGTGAAGCACTCCACACAATTTACAATGGCATGAGGCAGCTGTAAAACAGAGAATTACTATGGACGACACATTTACTGCATTCACAGGTTTCTAGTAGGTGGCTTTATGGATTCTTATGGCACATATCAACACACCTGGACAGGTTACCCTTTCAATATGAGAAATAGAAGTTATTATTTTATTTCCTTTCATACCGTTTCCTCTGCAATGGATGCCAAAGTCTAAAGGTGGCCATACACTTTACAACCCTCGCAAGATTTTTGTCTTGCGAGGGTTGTAAGGTAATTAAAAAAACGTACGATCTGCCCATCTTGGACAGGCAGATCGTACTTGCGATCATTGCAAGCCCGCCCCCTGAGGAGCGAGCTTCCGATGACTGCAATGAGGCGCGGGCTTCCGATGACTGCAAACGGGCAGTGTGCGCATGCGCACACCGGCCCGTCCGGCAGTTGTCGAACAAGCAGGCCACTAACTCGCCGAGAATCGTACGATTCCCGGTGGGCTTTCCAGCCTGCTTGTTCGACGGAAGACAAGCGACTGTACAGTAGAAACGGTCGCACGCCTTCCATACACTTTGCGATTATCGTACGATTTCCCGCGATTCTCGTACGATAATCGTACGGTGTATGGTCACCTTTACACAGTCAAATTCATCAATGGGCTAGGTATAAAGGCTACAATCAGAGTGATGGGGAAAGAGGTGCTGTTTATATATCATGCCAGTCTTCTCCCCCTTCCTATATGTGAGCGAGCAAGTGACACAACAATGCAAGCAGTGCATAGCAAAGAGAGAAAGGGAAGAGTGAGGAACACAGGGAGCTGTTGTAAAATGATCCACTAGGTCTTTCACACAGGATTCATACAACTTTTACCCAGCATTCACACATTTAGCAAATTAATTCAATAAAAAATAAATAAAAAGTGGGAATCTTGGGAGGCAGTTGTATAAATATTGTGAAACATTATAAATCATCCTGTATGTGATATGAAGAGGACTGAAGTAAAGGACTTTGATTTATTTGTAAGCACTGTACAATAAATGAAGCCAAGGAAGTGAGGTTGCCCAGGCATTGTTTACCTGGAACCAGTACCAGCTCCATGCAGAATTATTGGTAGCACTGGAAGGATTGGGGCACGCTGCCCCAATAGAATCTGCTGCCGGCATCACAGGAGACAGATAAATAATAGTTCTGTGCTGCCCTCCCCTGCATGTTACTGCCCAGGAGGCTAATTATACACCAGCCCCCAGAGCTCTATATGCCCTGTTCCCCCTCCTTCCCTTCCCAATTATTTTTCTTTTTTCAGACAGTAATATATAAAAAAAGAAGGGGAAAAACACACACACACAAGATATGGGTCTGCTGGCCGCATTTTAAGCTGATACCTACCGTGTTTCCCCAAAAATAAGACCTACCCCGAAAATAAGACCTAGTGCTAACTTCAGGGATTTCTGTAATATAAGACCTACCCCGAAAATAAGACCTAGTTCGGCAGTAGGGGGCGAACATGTATTGCTGCATCCAAGCAGCCAGCAAGGGGTCGGAGTGTAAAAATCAATGACATGTGCAGCTTGTCTCCTGTCTGCATGTACGGTCTAATAAAATGTCACGATCGCAAAGCTCCCTCCCCCCCTCCGGCCCGTCTGCCTGCCGGTCCACCCATCTGCATGTACGGTCTAAAAACAAGTAAAGATCGTAAAAAACCTTCTGGCCGCAGCTCCCTCCCTCCGGCCCGTCTGCAAGCCGCTCCGCCCGACTGCCTCCGCTTTTAGGATGCCTGGACGGGATCAGAGAGCTCCAGACAGCTGCAGCCAGGTACCGTACTGTGAGACTGTGTGACAGTCACAGTACCATTCTTTCACTCCCCTTCTCCAGTACTGTATGATACAGTACATTACATGCCGGTATCTCTGCTCTGCGTGACAGTCACGGTCCTGATTTCTATACATACCGTTTTTCCCCAAAAATAAGACCTAGTGTGTTTTTTTGGGGGAAAAAAAATATAAGACAGTGTCTTATTTTTGGGGGAAACACGGTATATAACCCACATCTATATGACTGGACTTGCTGAAAGCCCAGAAAAATCTAAAACACTGGAGCTCCAGTAACAATGTTGCATTGATATCTCTTACTATACAACTGGAACAAAAAGGAAGATACTTGCTACATTTCTTACCGGGATTCCCATATGGATATAAAGACGGGTGCTTCAAATGACTGTGGATGGCGGCGCCGCCACATGTAGATATTTAAAGAACGTCACCAGCACAGCAAATCAATGACCGCATCAAGTGTTCATTTATTGACGCATGCGGTCTCTCGGTTGCAAGCGCTGTCAGGGGCTACGCGGGGTCCCCTTCATCAGGATCAGATGCCTGATGAAGGGGACCCTGCGTGGCCCCCGAAGGCACTTGCAACCGAGACAGTATACGTCAATAAATAAACATTTGATGCGGTCACTGACTTGGTGTGCTGGTGACGTTCTTCAAATATTACTATACAACTGTCCTTACTCATACATAATTGTACACTGCAGACTGAAAGGACAGTGGAACTCTCACCACATACCCTTCACCTCTACCCTTTTGTGTGATCGGAACCCTCATCTACATAGTTTACTCTGGACCCTATTCCTACTTTTCGCCCACCACCCCACAATAAATATAAAAGGTTATTTCATATTCCTAGTAACTTTGATCACACACGTAGACATGGAGGACTACCCTCTGGTGTATGTCTTGCACATTTCTTCATGTTTATGTATTTTATTAAAAAAACAAAAAAACCTAATAAAAGTCAACATGCAATGTGTGTATATATGTATACCAAAAAAGCAAGGTTTGTAATTGAATGGCATCAGTTCATTTGGAGTCAGTCACCTGGAACAAGTATGCAAAATAGAAGGAAATTCCACCTTTAAAAAAAACTGCACTTACTACTATTTTGCATAGGAGCCAGTAAAGCATTGTAGCCGTGGTCAGTGGATGATGGCTGACATGCTTTGGCTTCTGTAGACCGAGGTACTGACAATCAAGGAAATGGACGGGAGGACGTGTCAATGGACTACAAGTGCGGTGACGTCCTCACACCCTCCGCCACGGTAGTTTCTTTCTTATATATGGGTGTAACATGAAACGTGGTCAAAAAGGTAAACTTGGCCTTTCTTCTTCACTCTGTCCTTCTGCTGCTCTGCATATCTGTTTCGGGCCAGTGACTGAACATATTAAAGCCACCGGATCAGCATCAGCACTGTTTTCTTTTACAGAATGTAGACCTCTAAAACCAGGGCCGTTCATAACTCAAACCGAGAGCGTAAATCACACAACAACGTCATTTACATTTTAGTGTCACCTTTGAAGTAATGAGGTCATTAAAGAAGGACTCTGGGCAGATGTTACCCTTGCAGGGGGACTACCCCTGCACATCAAAGGTTAAGTGCTCATTTATGTTTAGGGACAAAATTACAAAGATATACTCACCCGAACCTTGGAGCCGTCTGGCTGCTACTCCGGTCCCTGCAGCCTCTCTCCTCCTTCGCAACGGCAGTGTATTGAACATGAGGTCACCTAGGGACATTGCATCGCTGGAGCAGAGAGGCCGCAGGGACTGGTCTAACAGCCAGCTGACTCCGAGGTTCAGGTGAGCACTTAACCCTTGCCATGTGTGGGGTAGCCCCACTGCAATGGTTAAGATGATTTCTGCCTTGAGTTGATCTGTAAAGGTGGCCATACACTCTACAACCATCGCAAGACTTTAGTCTTGCGATAGTTGTAAAGGGATTAAAAAAAACGTACGATCTGCCTATCTTGGACAGGCAGATCGCACTCTCGATCATCGCAAGCCCGCCCCCCTGAGGGGCGGGCTTCCGATGACCGCAATGCTGAACGGGCAGTGTGCGCGTGCGCACACCGGCCCGTTCGGCATTTATCTTACGAGCACCGTTCTAACCAGCCGAGAATCGTACAATTCCCGGCTGGTTTTCGAACATGCTGGTTCGACAGAAGACGTGCGACCGTACAGTAGAAACGGTCGCACGTCTCCGTTCACACTGCTCGATTATCGTACGAAAAACCGATCGCATACGATTATCGTACGATAATCGTGCAGTGTATGGGCACCTTAACGATCTGCTAATGTCAAGCACATTTCCTGCTGCGCCCTACAATGGACTGAATGGTTCTGGGCATTTGTGGACAATTCTGGACAAAGTCCAGGAGGCAGGTAGCCATTGCTCCTTATAATCACTGCTGGCGTCTGACTTTTGAGGTTTTTTATAGTTGTTGTCAATGGAGCTTGTTCCTAAAATAAAAAGCTGGCTACTGAATTGGACAGAATGGCTCTTAAACTCCATATTAATGTGTCCACCTCACCCTTAAAGGAACACTATACTGCCACCAATAAACTCTTCTTTTACAATTGCTGAAATCCCGGCTGTTATGCTGATCCCAAGGCTTCCACTGACCCAGATGAAGCAAGCAGATAAGGAGTTTTGACTTTCCTCTGACTTCACGTGTGTTTCAGGTCAGAAGAAAATATTGAGGCTAGAGACAGCCAGACATGAGACATTTTCAGAAGGAAGCCAGCAATGGTAGCCTGTGTATTTCTCACAGTACAGGTTTCCTTTAAAGGGTCCTTACATATAAGTACCGGAGGTCACAGTGGTGTGGTGTTTCAGTCTTACCTCTAGAGTGCTCAGCACGGTCTTCAGGACATACGTTTTCCCGGTGCCGGTGTGACCATAGATGAAGATGGATGGAAAGCTTAGATGAGGACGCTGAAATGAAGAGGACATCGAATGACGAGACTATTCAAGTTTTTACATTTCAGAATCCAGTTAATGGAGAGGTTGTAGGTGAAGACAATCTCTGACATATTTAGTGTTGTAAGGCAGTGGTCTGAAATAGTGTGACCCTATGCTATGCTCAAGCAGAGCAAAACAACAGACTCACTGGAAAGTGTATTTCCACTGTAAATTGGGAGGGGGAGGACACCTATTTTTATATCAGTTAGTAGTGATGAGCCTGGTCTTAGTGCAACCCCAGTTTGCCTGCGTTCACACCTAAGCCCGCTCAAAACTATGACTGCCACCCAGATATACTGAGAACGCCGCAGGTGGGGCGGATACGGACAATACTATTGAGATCCACCAAGCTGGATGATTGACAGCTGGCTCTGCCTATCTAGAGGCAGAGCCAGCTGTGCCCACCCCTTCCATGTCTGTTCTTCCACTCAGCGCTGGAGGATCGGAGAGGGGGGAATCCTTGTGGGGAGCGGTGACAAAGTCACCGCTCACTGAAGGGAGATGATTTGGAAGTGAGCAGATCAGTGCATGTTTCTGCTCACTTCCTGATCAATAGAGCTGACCAAACAGCTTCTTTGTCATAGGTCGGCTCAAACTACGAGGATGAGTGGGAATCACTCACCTCATACTTCTCCTTTAAGGTGCCATTTTTGCCATGCAAGTTCCACTTTAAGTCCTCATTTACACAGGTGGAAGGCTTTACCGCACATGTGAAAAGCAAGCCACAGTGGTACACTTTTCAGAGGGTGGTTCATAGCCTGTTTATAAGCATACAGGAGGTGATACTGCTCGAAGAACAAGGCCTAAAAGTGACATAAAAAAACTCAGGAGATAAAATCTTAAAAATACTTTCCAAGTACCCTAAGGTCCCTTCCACATGAGCGTGTCAGGAGAGGATCCATCAACAAATTATCTTCTAATCACAGCAGTACGGAGCGGAAGCTGCCGGACCCCATGTGTCTGCTTACATCATATTAACCCCGGTCTGGCACGATCCGGTCCGTCGAAACGGATTAATGATCAGTCTGTTTTATCTGACCTAGCATGAGCTAACCGGGTGCAAACGGACGCTCTATGTCCGTAGACCTGCATAGAACGTCCGATTGGGTCTGGCTGAAAAACTGACAGGCGGACCTGATCGGACCGCTCATGTAAAAAGGGGCCTAACTATTAACCACTTGAAGTGGTTTAACCCCCTTCCCATCCAGGCCATTTTTCTGTATTCAGCGCTGCGGTACTTTGACTGACATTTATTCCGTCATGCAGCGCTGCACTGAAATGAATTTTATACCATTTTTTAGGGACAGATAGAACTTTCTTTTGGTGGTATTTAATCACCACTGCGTTTTATTTTTACTATATTAAGGAAAAATGACCGAAATTAATTTAAAAAAAAACTGTTTCCCCTATATTAAATGATAAAAAACATTTATTATTACCCAATTTTTTGGTAAAATATAAAAGACGGGGTCACATCGGGTAAAACGGCACCAAACATGTCAAGCCTTAAAATTGCGTGCGCGAAACCTCAAAAAATTATAATACCCAAAAAACTTCATCAGCTTCTTTTCTCAGGCTATAGCAGCCAGCTGACTGACAGGTGAATGCGGAAGTGATGTAATACACGTCACTTCTGCATTCACAGCCCAGAGGGAGATCAGCAAGGAGCTGTCCTCCCACCCTCCCTCTTCCTCCTGACGCCCTCCCGAGCCAGTCCCGGGCCGCAGATGGGGCAGCGGATCCCGGGATTGAAGTTGAGGGGTCAGGAGGGGGAGGCACACACCAGCACATATGCACGATCGGCAGGCTATAGAGCCGCCGATCGTGTATATGTTAAACAGCCGGTAACGGCTCTTTACATTGCACTGGCTTTTTCTGCCCGGGCGCGCGCGAGCAAAAAAAAATGCTGTCTGGAGACGGCAACCAGCCAATGCAGCAGTACCGTCCTTCCGGTTTTTTTTCAACGGGCAGACGGCAACTGGTTAACAAGTGTGTAACTTATTTGTGCATCACTCAGCTGTAGATCCTTAAATTATCTCTGAATTGGTGCAGACACTGTCCTTCCTGCTGGAGGGTGACTACTTTTGTTCCCCATGGTCGCTGTGCGTGTTGTAAAGTAGTCACCGCTCCAAAGTGATGGATTGTAGTCCATCACTCCCATGATGGACTACAATCTCAATACAAATTAGTAAACTAAACATGAAATTGTAGTCCATCAAGGGACTGAGCTTGGAAGAACACAAGTAGCCGCCCTCCAGAAGGAAGGACCGTGTCAGCACCAATTTAGAGATGATTTGAAGATCTACAGCCCAGTGATACACAAATAATACATTGACAAAAACAACGTATCATTCCTGTCTTATGACACAAACCAAATCCTGAAGTATTGTGTCCAGGAGAATGGAAGCATAGAGCTTATAGAGTTGTATGGAAAACACTGATACCTTCCATTAAGCTGCATGTACCTAGTAGATGGGAATTACAAGAGGAATACAATAATCACCTCTCCATATATTGCCAGCAATGTGGATAGCTGGACTTCTCGACACAGTATTCGATTCTCCAATTCTTCAAGTTTTTTCTCTGGATCTGGAAAATGTTCTACTGAGGTCATGGTTCACTTCCACATATTACCTGTAAAAGAACACAGAGCAGACACATGAGACAGTAAGGGGACATAGAACACAATCTTACTGCTGGGAATATATGCCGTCTTGTAGTCATAGATATCATTAGCTCTCAGGTGCTGCGTGCATTCTCCTATACAACTCAATGACAGAACGTGGTTGCACGCAGCTACCTGCCGACACAAACTTGCACATCCATGCAGGTATGCAGTCTGTACAGATGTGCAAAATGGGGTCAGCATCTGGCCTCCGTCCTATCATAGAGATGTACACTCGGCTACACATGGCAGGTTTCTGCATGGACCAGCACACTGTATGGATGTGCACATCTGGGTGAGTGAGGCCTAAATGTACACATAGAAATCACTGCGTTTCTCCATGTGCCAATCTCTGTGCATCTCCCTGTCATTAGCCCAAAGCGGGTAAATACATTCCTGTAGCTGGACATTGTGCTTCCAAGCTGAAGAGAGCACCATGCTGCCCATACACAGAGCAATTAGAACGACATTCAGTCAGATCCATCGGACACTCCTCAGCAGCAGGACCACAGCCGCACCAAATCCAAACACCATCAGCCGCCTGCGGGGAGAAGACCCCCGGGATCAGGTAATGGGGTATTATGTGCCCATCATCTCAGGTGCTGCATGCATCCGCCGGTACACCTCAATGACACACCGAGGTTACATGCATGCCGACCCAAATCTGCACATCTGTGATCTAGTGATCGGTGAAGAACCGGAGCCGCTTACCTTACAGTGAGCCGTCTGTACTCCGCTCCATTCAAGTGTCGCTATGTGTAGAGCGTAGCATCCATGTGTCACAGAGTCCCGCCAGCGGAATACAACTCCCGCCGCCGCCGCCCCCTCCCATGACAGAGTGTCACTTCCTCCATACAGAGCCGCCTCTTCCCTGCCTCTGTGCAACGACCGGTGTACACCGGATACCGGCCTCCCCCGTCTCCGTAAACGGCCAGAGTGTGTCACAGAGGCCGGAGATTTCACTAATTCCCCCGGCTATGACAGTCACACGGTCTGATGATCCCACTGACTCAGGATGGGATGGACAGGCAGACAGAAGGCTGGTTACTGTGTATACTGTGCACCATGGCTGCCTGCCCCATGAGTCTACTGTGCACCATCTCTGCCTGCCCCATGACTCTACTGTGCCCCGTGGCTGCCTGCCCCGTGACTCTACTGTGCACCATGACTGCCTGCCTCGTGACTCTACTGTGCACCATGACTGCCTGCCTCGTGACTCTACTGTGCACCATGACTGCCTGCCTCGTGACTCTACTGTGCACCATGACTGCCTGCCTCGTGACTCTACTGTGCACCATGACTGCCTGCCTCGTGACTCTACTGTGCACCATGACTGCCTGCCTCGTGACTCTACTGTGCACCATGACTGCCTGCCTCGTGACTCTACTGTGCACCATGACTGCCTGCCTCGTGACTCTACTGTGCACCATGACTGCCTGCCTCGTGACTCTACTGTGCACCATGACTGCCTGCCTCGTGACTCTACTGTGCACCATGACTGCCTGCCTCGTGACTCTACTGTGCACCATGACTGCCTGCCTCGTGACTCTACTGTGCACCATGACTGCCTGCCTCGTGACTCTACTGTGCACCATGACTGCCTGCCTCGTGACTCTACTGTGCACCATGACTGCCTGCCTCGTGACTCTACTGTGCACCATGACTGCCTGCCTCGTGACTCTACTGTGCACCATGACTGCCTGCCTCGTGACTCTACTGTGCACCATGACTGCCTGCCTCGTGACTCTACTGTGCACCATGACTGCCTGCCTCGTGACTCTACTGTGCACCATGACTGCCTGCCTCGTGACTCTACTGTGCACCATGACTGCCTGCCTCGTGACTCTACTGTGCACCATGACTGCCTGCCTCGTGACTCTACTGTGCACCATGACTGCCTGCCTCGTGACTCTACTGTGCACCATGACTGCCTGCCTCGTGACTCTACTGTGCACCATGACTGCCTGCCTCGTGACTCTACTGTGCACCATGACTGCCTGCCTCGTGACTCTACTGTGCACCATGACTGCCTGCCTCGTGACTCTACTGTGCACCATGACTGCCTGCCTCGTGACTCTACTGTGCACCATGACTGCCTGCCTCATGACTCTACTGTGCACCATGGCTGCCTGCCTCATGACTCTACTGTGCACCACGACTGTCTGCCTCATGACTCTACTGTGCACCATGACTGTACTGTGTATCATGACTACCGTGCACCATGACTGCCTGCCTCATGACTCTACTGTGCACCATGACTGCCTGCCCCATGACTCTACTGTGCATCATGACTGTACTGTGTATATTGTGCCCCATGACTGCCTGCCCGCCCCATGACTCTAGTCTACTGTGCACCATGACTGTTTGCCTCATGACTCTACTGTGCACCATGACTGTACTGTGTATCATGACTACCGTGCACCATGACTGCCTGCCTCATTAGGGATGAGCCGAGTGTTCAATTCGAACAGGAGTTCAAATCGAACATCGGCAGTTCAAGCGTTCGCCGAACTTTATGGGATGTTCGCAGTTTGTTTGACCGCGGACATTCCTTAAGGCAAAATGCCCTCTGAAGCTCTGATTTGTTAAAGTCTTGCACCTGACCACAGGTCAGGTGCAAAACTTTGCCCAATCAGGGCTCAGTATTGAATTAGACCCATGATTGGGCAAAGTCATGATGACTGCCCAATCATGGCCTGCCTATCAGATGTCGGTAAATTACACAATTGGGCGGAGCTAGCTGTGGCAGCTAGCTCTGCCCAATTGTGTATGTTTTGCCGGCATATGACAAAATGCCATTATGCGGCGGGAGCGGACGGGACGGCGGGTTTTTCTTTTTCATTATTTCTCTTTATTTTTTTTATTTCCTCGTCGTCGTGTACAACGCTGGATGCCGTGATTGACCCTGGATTACGTCAGTGGATCCATTTTCTGGGTTTTTTTGTTTTTTAAATAAGACTTGTCGAAAAAATGTCTTTTGGTTTGTTTTTTTAAATAAAGGATTTTATCAAAAGTCTGGACTTTTTAATAACTTTTATTTAACCCTTTAGTGAATGTGTAGGGGTACAAGTACCCCTTACTCATTCACAAGGGAGGGGGGTGGCATCTGGATGCCCCCTTAATTAACGGGGTACCCAGATGCAAATAAGCCCCCCTGCCCGCAGACCCCCACAACCACTGGGTCAGGGTTGTGGGGACGAAGCCCTTGTCCCCGTCGGCACGGGGACACCCTCCCAGTGCAGAGGGCACGTGGTGTGGGAGGGGGGCGCTCGCTCGTTCACCCCCCACTCCCCCTTTCCGGCCCTACCAGGCCTATGCTTGGATCAAGGGTCTGGTATGGAATTCTAGGGGGATCCCATGTTTTTTCCCCCCATTTTTTGGGGTGGGGTTCCTCCTTAAAATTCCTACCAGATCTTAAGGGCCTGGTATGACTTTAAGGGGGAACCCCACACACATTTGTTTTTGTTACAAGGGGTCCCTCCTAAATATTCCTACCAGACCTTAAGGGCCTGGTATGACTTTTAAGGGGGACCCCACACGTTTCTTTTGTTGTACATGGGGTCCCTCCTTAGTATTCCTACCAGATCTTAAGGGCCATGTACACCATGACTGACTGCCTGCCTCATGACTCTACTGTGCACCATGACTGCCTGCCTGCCTCACGACTACTATGCACCATGACTGCCTGCCTCATGACTCTACTGTGCACCATGACTGCCTGCCTGCCTCATGACTACTGTGCACCATGACTGACTGCCTCATGACTCTACTGTGCACCATGACTGCCTGCCTCATGACTCTACTGTGCACCATGACTGCCTGCCTGCCTCATGACTCTACTGTGCACCATGTCTATACTGTGTATACTATGCTCCATGGCTGGCTGCCTGCCCCATGACTCTACTGTGTATACTGTGCTCTACGACTGTACTGGGGCTGGAAAGGCACCATGAATGCTGAAAGATATAGCCAGGTTTTAGAGCAGCATATGCTCCCATCCAGATGACGTTTTTTCAGGGAAGGCCTTTTATATGTCAGCAGGACAATGCTAAACCGTATACTGCATCTATGACAACATCATGGCTTCGTAGAAGAATCCGGTTGCATAATTGGCCTCTGCCTGCAGTCCAGACCGTTCACCAATTGAAAATATTTGGTGCATCTTGAAATGATATAAAAAAAAATGACAGAGACCCAGGACTGTTGAGCAGTTAGAATCCTATATCAGGCAAGAATGGGACAACATTCCTCTCCCAAAATATCAGCACCTGGTCTCCTCAGTTCCTAGACATTTAGAGTGTTGTTAAAAGAAGAGGGGATGCCACACCGAGGTAAACATGGCCCTGTCCCAACTTTGTTTAAACGTATTGCTGCCATCCATTTAAAAATGACCTTATTTTTCTTAAAGGTGTTCATTTTCTCAGTTTAAACATTTGAGGTGCTTTCTATTGTGAATAAAATCTGGGTTTATGAGATTTACAATCATTGCATTCCGTTTCATTGTAGATTTTACACAACGTCCAAACTTTTTGGGGACTTGGAGTTGTATGTGTGGCTTGTGTTGGTGCATGAGCAGAGACACCGGCACTCCAGGGTGAAAAGCAAACGTCTATTTATTGACATGCAGCACAAGTATTGCAACGATGCATGTATATGCTTTTGCCTGAGGAAGGGGATCCTGTGCGACCCCGAAACGTTCGTTGCAATACTTGTTGTGCTGTACGTCAATAAATAGACGTTTGCTTTTCACCCTGGAGTGCCGGTGTCTCTGCTCTTGCTCATGTTTGTGACAGCTGCCATCCGTCGACTACCGTAGCACCCGCTTCTTGAAGGGATCTTGCGGTCAGGAGTGCGATGGGACCATGGACTTCTTGTGTTGGTGCATGACCCTCCCTTTAGGAATTCTTACTTACTCTGAAGTTAGCCATACATGTGGCAATTTCCTGGCAGGAACTGAACGATGGAAAGCAATCTACCATCCAGGAGCTTGATTGATAGGACTGGGACATACACTGACAGCTCATATACAGGATATTAGACAAAAAAAAAAAGAAGAAGATCACAACCAGAACAAAAACGATGGCAATTTCGTAGAAAGCGTTAAGATTTTCTGCTGGGCTGAATGGAGGCAATTTTGTTTCCGTCTTCTTGCAGTCAATAGAAACCAGTAATTTTCACATTCGATCGCTCAGGATTTGGATTCCAGCGCGATATAAAAGGGGTTAAAAAGCACCAAAAAGTGAATGGTCAGCTTAAAGTGTATTTCCACTTCCTCAGCCAAATGGGGATAAAACTTATTTTAGGTTTGTTACATGTTCCCATTCACATAGCACGCACACAAAAAAAAAAGTCTAAAACATGCTTCTTGCAGTTTAAATTGCTTTTACTGGGGCGAGGTTTTTTTTTGGCTTCTTAAGGGACCAAAATTTCTACTTGCTTCTCCGCCTTTGTAATGTTAGGAGGGGGTGTGAGGGGTTTGTCCATTATATTTTTATGAAAAGATTTGAATGGTGACTGGCCTAACAAAAAGGTGAAATTATTACAACCCTGGTTTCTGCATTGTATGTTAATGAGAAAAAACACAATCCTCGAGTTTCTGTCCTAAGTCTTTCTAGAAAATCAGCCATCTTGTCTGCTACAACAAAACATCAACAACAAAAATGATTTAAATATTATTTTCCACTACGCTGTTTGAATGGGATCAAAAACAAATTTGACTTCAATAGTGCAAGCACACTAAGTCTCCAGGCCTTCTCAAGCGCAGCTATTACACATATGCACAATTCCATTTTTTGTTTTATTGTTTTTAATCAAATAAGAAAAAACATTGGCTTATAAAAAAACTGAAGTGAAAATACATGTATCACAGCATTTACATCTTTTAAACATTTCACTTGGCATATCAAAAGAGTAGGATGCTGGAACTGTACAACAGGAAAGGGACATTTTACCAATACTCTTTTGCAGTTTTGCAAAAATGTTAAAAAATGACTCCAGTTTTTGTACTTGTTTTCCCATTCCTATTAATCATATATTATGTATATTGATACATCTGCCTTTGCTGATATAGTATGATGCATTGGATAAATGGGGACCTGCTCCTCCCTAACTCAAGTAGGGCACACCCATGAATTACTGGCGGCAGCCCCCTCCATTGGGAGAGATAAGCCAATCTTTTTCTTCTCTTAAGTTAAAGGAAATGTCTCGTCTGGATTTAAATGTCCAATCTGATTAGAGACTCCCCTGTGTAGGGTCCCCACCTCTCCCAAGCCTCTAATACATACAATAATAGGAGCCTCTCTCATCTTGCTCTCATTTTAGTGGTGGGTGAAACGGAGTCTGACCATCAGAGGCAATGGTACATAGAACATCTCCTGTCCTCTATGACCAAACTAGAATCACAGGTTTGTACCAGCAGGTGGTGCTGCTGATAAGCATACAATTACAATTCCTGACATATTGTAGGAGCTGCAGAAGGGGGTAAAATCTCTATTTTACTACACTGAGGGGTCCCAAGCAGACAGAAGGTTTCCACTTAAACTGGAAACCCCCTAAAAGGCCAAATATAATTTGTCCTCCTTAGCATTGAATTTTGATTGTGACAGTTCTAGCATTAAACAAATGCTAAAAGTGAAAATA